CAAGCGTGCATGTTCAAGATCTGTCTTTATCTGTAGTGCAAGATAGGATACAATTACCCTTGACTCAAAAAATGATTGGAAGTTCCTGGTATGTTGATTCATAGTTTCACTATGTTTTACTCTTTGAACCATTGCTTCATGAAGGGACAACTTCAGAATGGACGGTGCCAGAAAAACATCCACCCCCATTGCTTCATTTCTTCCCACTTCCGTGCACCAAGAACCTACTGTAGCTCTTGATTCATAAACCCTCCCATATGAATTCCAAGTGCTCCGCCTTCATCCTCAGTGCTGGAGTCCCCGGACTCCAGGCCACTCTTCACGCCCGGAGGCTGGTGTGGCACTCCCCGACGGGCCTCCCACGGCAGGGGTCGGCCGATGACAGGACTCGCACCGGCTGTCCGAAGCTCTTGTCTCACAAGGAACCTGAAGATCTTCAACTGAACAAGTGGTAAAATTCACCACAAGATCTAAAACCGAATAATTCGTAAATCTTTCATCCTTCTTAGATCTGGTGGTCTCCCAAAGGTGCCTCCACCCAAAAAGCTCTCTTCAGAAGTCCGCTCGCCCGAGCTCCACAAAGACCACTCTGTTTCTCACACCCTGGATGAACTAAGTTGTGCTTGTCGGGAAGAAAACACACATCGACATGGAGACACCTCAAAAGAGTCCTGCTCACAGGGGATAGGCAAATTATGACTATTTAATACCATCTAGCTACTTAAAGCCGCTTAGTAGGCTTAATGGCCTCAAGTAGTTAAACCCACATTTTCCCACACAAACACTGGTGTCTCAAGCACCAGTGTAGTTCGAGGGGAAAGTGCATCACACCTGGTGAACCTGTGGCCTGGAAGACCTGGCAAACCAATGGGTACGCCCAGTCCGTGCGCTCGACCGCATGGATACTCAATGCTCCCTGCAGTGCAACGGACTATCACGGACTCACCAAAAAAGGCATCCGAAGAGTCGGACGCGAGAGTCACACTCTCGGAGGACCCCTCGAATTACAAGTTTGGTTCGAAGCCCCTAAGTCAAAAGGCCTTCATACTTGCCCGTGTCCATCGTTTTGCAGTGTGCCCATAAATGAACCAACATAAATCAACCAACATGAACAAACAACGCCTATCGTATTCAACACTTAACAAATCCGTCAATCAAGTACCAAACAGAATCTCACCAAGCAAATGCTCTTGTTGGATCTGTTTAAACCTTTGGTCCCGGTCTTTAACTTTAGTCCCCACACCCATCTTCACAAACTAAACATCCCCCAATTCTCCGCCCATATTCCGCTTCCTCCTTCCCCGTCGCCTGTGACTTCGGCTGCACCGACAAGCGTCGCCAAAAGGGTGGATGGCAGGGCTCTAGTGGCGGCCCCGCGCGCCCCACGGGCGCCGAGCGGGGTCGGCTCACCACCTGTTGGGCGGGAACGAACCAGTTGGGCGGATTGAACGTGGTTTATTGCACAAACAAAACATCCAGCTCTTCACAAGCAGTAGCACAATCAAGTATAAATTCAACATGGATTGCAACTTGCCCGAAAGAAGGTACATTGTACATGCGTCGAGGGTGAAGACAAATCGTGGGCAGTCGAGACTGACCTTGGTTGCGCCCGGCATTAGGATGTCCAAAAGGATTTTGCAGGATACAGCAATGATTCTACCACTTAGTTGATGAACCATGATGAGCACATATATATATATATATATACATACATTTTTTACATACATTATGCTCCTCATGTATCGTAAGTAAAGCAAACACGCATCAACTACTGGACCGTCAAGAAATCTACCAGGCCTGGTAGCCATAGACGTGGGATACCACAGGCGGCACCATGACCACAGGAAACACTGCGCGGGGTTACACAGAAGCACGATACTCAAGGACTCAAGAAGATCAATGTTCATGGAACCTCTATCAAGTTTCTAGTTTTTTCTTTGTTCCACGTGGTCACTTTGAGCGTATTGTTTCCTATGTTGATACTAAGGGACCGTGAAGAAACCATTCAATCGATTTTTTCAGAAGGTTGTCAACAACATTTGCCTGGCCAGTGCTTCAGCTTGTGAAGATGTCCCCCAAGCCCTCCCCAAAACAGTCATTATACAACAACTCAAGACTACAATCTTGAACACACTAACATGGAAGTGGAACATGGCCCGTCCTCGTAATCCGTTAGGCTACTTTCCTTTACGGACAGGGGGTGTTCCACTTCCCTGTTAGTGAGTCGGAGTGTACATGCAAGCATTGACTGGTTTGTCTTCTAGTTGTGTGTTTGCAAGGAGCGATGGGCAAACACATTGTAAGTCTTGCTATCCCGCGCGCATCTGCATGTCATTCACTGTGCTATGCTGGAAAATAGATCTGAGCAAAGTTGATTGCTTATACCACTAATCCACATCCTTGCTGTTCCCTCACACAAACCAATGAGTGATCGGTTGTGGAAACTTGTATAATGAACAAATAATGAAATTCATGACGCACTTTGACATGTGTTGAACCACCTGAAAATCCGGTGGTTAGCAAGTAAACACTGACATGTGAACACACATTACTTCCATGGTTCAATAGTTTGGATGCCATACAAGTAGCTTCTTTGATATAATGGGCCTTTTCAGGATTCCTATCCAAGGCTCCACCGGTCCAGGTGCTCCACCGCTACACAGAAATTCTTCGGTCAAGATGGCGCCAAGATCCAGGTATCCACATGCTAGCTGCGCATCCCTGCACTCTTTCAGCACATATTAAACTCATAGGACTCCTGTTTAGAATAACATAGAAAAACACACTGGTCTACGTATCTGGTCTCATCAATCATGCAAATCTTGCAATTCTTATTTCAATTGATTCATGGTCACGGTCCGTGTTTGTTTTCCGCTTGCGTAGATGCTCTGTTCTTCGCACTTACGGACAATTAGAGCAACTCAGGAATAAAAAGGGAACACCACATGCACGGTCACTCTACTATCCGAGACCCGCCACACAGTCTGCAGGTATCTGCAGGTTTTTTGTTGCGCAAGCTGCGCTGCCTTTCTTTGCTGGACTCGCATGAAAACCACAGTCACGCAAGATCCGTCGTTTTGTTCAAAACGAGCGTTCAGTTGATGTGACAATTGATGCAAACCATCGAGGATGTTCACCACCAATGGACGTTGACGGTGAAAGGACAAATCACACAGTGGGGGGGGCTCCAGAATGCACAGCGGCCACGTCGCTGATGAAATACTCCAGATGGGTGAAAAGAAACATGGAAGAAAAACAATATGTTAATGAATTTACTAGTATACTTGTTCTTTTTGGTTCTCCAGCCCCATATCTTGGAACCCATCTAGCCTGGAATATCTTGGAACCCATCTTCAACATCCCTTGAAAATCTGAGCGCCAGCCTAGACCAGCCTTTCCGATTTGAAACTCCCCGATGGAGTGGCGCACGCACAACACGGGTGGTCGCGCGTGACTGCCGAAAGTCCGCCACTGCGTGGCAGTGAATTCGGAGGTAGAGATCTGTGATGCATAGGTTGCCACAGCATGGAAAAAGCTCACTACGCGGTGTTCAGGGGAAGTGACTTGTTGAAAGCACCTTTTAACTAACGCCTGCTCTTGCTGTTCCAGGGTCCAGCAAGGGTCTTTCCCTATTCCCAAGGGTCAGTGTGACTCTATTGCCGGCCCTCAAGTCTCTATCCGTCTCGACCCCTTCACCCAGGATTGCGCGTTGTCTATCAAGTGTGTGGAACTCAACAATATTTATTTTTTGCTCCTCACCACTCCAAACAGGGCCCATGATTCGCAAAGGTGAATGGAGAGGCCAAAGAGACATGAGGTGACCCTCAAACCTAAAGCATGGAGGTTCATTTGCCAGACTCCACAGTTTGGTTTCTCACAAAGAATGGGTACATGGTCGTACATAATATACACAAACAATACAAAACAAATATCTGCTCTTGGAAACTCGTATCGAATGCCTCCTATTCCAAGCTAAATAGTCGTCAGGTTCGGCCAGATACTTCCTTGTGGGTTCCACCAGGTTGAGACATGGCAAAGTTCCTGGTTTCAACCCTTCGGAGGGCTGAACTTACTGTAGGTCAATCCATCTCACCGGCCGCACAAAATTGACTTCAAACACAGCTTCAACTAACCTCAATAAGTCTGTGATGATACAGCACCCCGAATATATCTCCAGCATGCTCCCCACACAATTTCATCTTCCACCTCACGGCCACTCGTACGGCCGATGTTCGTCAAATGCCCAGCCTCGCAAACCAATTAGTCCTCAGGACGCCTGGCCATGCGCTGCCAGCGTTGGGGATGTGGAGAAAATGGTGTGATCGTTCACAGTTGGAGACCCATTGAGATCCTTTATGCCAAGTATGTGTTCTGATTGATCTTGCTGGCTATATCTTGCTTACTTGCTTGGGAATTGTGTCAACTCAGTTAACTCAGTTGTTGAACTCGCACCTGACCTACCTTTTCTCACTTCGCTCAGATGCATCCAATGAGTGTGGATGGGCAAGGGGAGTCACCCGTTCTTCTCAAGCAAAGCTTTAACAAAAACACCCATACACTCCATGTATGGAATATATGCCTGCCTACCTAAACCCCTCATGCCAAACCACCCCAATGTAGGCATATATGGCATGCATGGAGCGTCTGGGACATGCACAAAAGTTGCCGTCCCAAGCAAGTGAGACGTGAACACCTAAGATGTTATGGAAGGTGGTCTGCTCTGACATCGACTTTTTGAACAGAGTCATCTCTTGAACCGTTATTCCACAATATTCCACGTTTGTCCAATTTGCTGTTAAGTTTAAAGGAGAAACGGACAAACCAAGGCACAAACTCCCCAAAGACTCTATAGGCTCTAGGATCAGTTGAAGTATCGCTACAGCCTGAATCCTCCACAGCCTGGCTTTCCTGTGTTTTCCACAACCTTTTCCAGGTCAGGTCGTGTCACCACCCTAATCCATGCAACTACTTTCTTGGTGACACAGTTCTCCTCGCCTGCATCAACCCCCGGCGACGCTCCTGACGGAGCCAAGGAGGTGGCTAGGCCAACAGTTGTGGGGAAATTGGTTGATGAAACGATGCAGGTTTCGTTTATCATGCCATTCTCACGGAGATTGCCACACAAATAGAGGTGGTTGGTGGACGTACTGTACTCTAATACTCCACCAACTCGCAGATCTTGGGAGTCCTTCATGTACCGTGAGCCGGAGCAAAGAGCGCTCAGAAATTGTTGCAGCAAGACTGCCTTCAGTCAGTTCACCAGGCTCTCCCGAGACAATCTCAACCTGGTCTAGGTGTGAAGATTGGCGGAGCTCACCGAGACCAACCTCTGAGGTCATCGGGTCTCTGGTGGCTTTTGACAATTGGCTGAGGCGTCTGCAGTGGCTGAGGTTGGCAGAGTCTCCTGCAGAATTGGGGGCAAACGCGCAAGATACGCGTGCAATTAGCGCTCGCGTTTTGGGACTTTTGCATATGTTTGCCATAGGAGTGCACCGACATCATCCAGCGCGCGGAGAGGTTCGTCGGCCCACCGAACCGGCGAGCCACCGGTTTTTGCCACGTCCTCTACGGCTTTGGACTGTGCCTGAATCTCCTTGCAAAGCTCCATCTTAGTGTTCTCTATGTCTTTTGAAAATTAGATTTTTACGCTTTGCCCCTGTTGGTCCATCTTCTGATGGTTTTGAAGATCTGTAGCCAGGAGACATGAACCGTGCAGAGCGTAAAGAGTGAATTGATCCAGCTGGAAACGTGCGAATGCACTCGCCAATCACACAGATATCATTCATGCTTCGCACGTCGCACGGAGTCGCGGCCGGAGTCTTTTGCGTTTCGACAAGTTCCATGTCCATGTCCGCCTCCTGGCTCCTGCAAAGTAAACAAACACCCGGACATGATCGAATAGAGCTTCATGAACCCGGCGCAATGACATGGCTTCGTGAAAGAGAACATGCTGTTCAAGCAACATCTGCTCTTCCTCATTTGCTCTTCAATATGCTTCTTCCAACGCACCCGGACGCAATAATAATTATATATATATAGGGGTGTGGCGAGAAACCCTGGTATGGATCGTTCCGTGCTGCAGCGAGAGTGATCCAAACCCTATGGATCAGAGCGCTGATCCAAGCCCTATGGATCAAACCGACAAGTCACTTGATCCAAGCCCCCGATATAAACACATCTGCATGGTGGCGCTCCAGCCCACCACTTTCTCACCAGTTCACTGTGAAGGTGGTGTCTCGGCCGCCGCTAAATTCATTGGGCTCCACTGTCCACATATTGGGCCATGGTTGGGTAGAGTGGGTGGCCATGGGCGCTGGTTCACTTTTGGGCTAACAAGAAGCCTTGCGATTAGTTTTCGGGGTCCACTAACCTCATTTCTCTAGCCCTTGTTTTGGCTCAAGAAGACGATACAAGAAGCACAAAAAGGCCATTAGCTAGCCACGCAGATTGGTGATTCAGTGGGCTCTCAAGTCATGTAATGGGTGGTGGCTTAGCGGCTCTCGAGATTGGAGGCTCACTCCAAAACCCGGTTAGCGGCCTCCACTGATTCTGTTTGGCCTTCAACTATCTTGTCTTCCGGCACCTTCCTTAGTGTGGTGTAGTTGGGTTGGATCCTCCACTCAGAGGCTTTCATAGCCTAATGGTCAAAGCATTGGTCTTCAATTCTCTACTTCCACGGTGTCAGGGTTCGAGTCTCGGCTGTGACCACACTTGATCCCACTAAAATCTTTTGCCAGAATGGGAGGTCAATTTGAAGTTGAATCTAGTGGCTTCCGCTAAATCTGTGGTGGCAGTGGTAATACTAGTGATGTTAGGGAGTAGCCGTAGCAGCGGCAATAGTAGTAGCAGTAGTGGTAGCAAGCGTAGTGGCAGTAGCAGTGGGAGTGGTGGCAGTAACAACAGTAATAGTAGCAGAGGTGGTGGTAGTAGTAGTAGTAGTGGTAGTGGTAGTAGTAGTAGTAGTGATTGTTGTGGTAGTGGTAGCACTAGTAGTTGTGTGATCCAAGGGCTTGGATCACACACCCACCTTTTGATCCATACCCTATGGATCGAGGTATGGATCGCGTGTGGGTTTGGGTGTGTGATCCAAGCCTTATGTTTCTGGCCGTAGCCATATGTGAGCAGTGCATTCTCGATTTCATCGATCTCTACGTGCAAGGATACCCGTGGTAGTCTTGTTTGGGGCTTCCTGGTTGCATCCTCCCACTCCACTCCCCATCTTGCCAGCCTCGCGGTCGACCTGGCGGGGCTTTTTGGTGTCCCTCAACTGCTAGAAGGCTTGGTCTCATAATGCTCCGATATGCTCCGTGTTTGATCTATTCTCGGTTGATTTTGGAAGCTTTGTCTCTACTGGCCATACCAACGCCATCGCTCCACCTTTGCCGCCTCAGCGGCATAGCCCTGTGGCGGCATAGCCCTCAATGAAGCTATTCTAAACCAACATGGAACTCAACTTGAAGAGGAACCTGGTCTTTCAAAACCGAAGTTCACTGGCTTTGCTATTCACCCAACACGCCTGGCCAGATCAGCCTCATCCTGATCCGGATGCACAAGTCGGGTCACACGTCGTCTTGCCACCTAATTAGGCTGTCCCAAGACTGGCAACTCAGGATGAAGTCTGCCATCCTTCATATCTGCACCCATCCCAATCTTCTGTCCTGACGACTGTTCTTCCAGGATGGCACCGGCGACTGTTCTTCGGGGCCTCCACTGGGGCACATAGGAGACCAAAGGGCTACAAATCATTTGGCCGTGGGTCAAAACCCAGGGGTGCCTGGTTGACCACAGAAAATGAACAGAATAGACTACTAGGGAGGCTCCAGAAAATGAACAGGGTCAGCAGGACTCCAGGTGTTGACACCGTATTGGAAACGACCGGACGAGGTCTCAGTTGGGACCTGTTACAGTAGAGACTGCTGCTCCATTGCTTTTCTTCAGTTCGACATCTGAAGCGGTCAGTACGTGAGGGATTCCATGCTTTGCATATGTGTATTATGTATATATATAATATGTATATGCCGCATATGCGTTTGCATATGCTTCTATGGAAGCCAAACTTGGGCAAGACACAAAGCCATCAACTACAGGACAAAGAAGTCATTTAGCTGGTCAACGCTTCTGTAGTATCTTGGATGGATCGGGTCGGTTCCATCTGTTTTGCAACAAAGGAAGAAGCTCACAACCGGCAGCTAAGAGGCAGAAAGGACACTCCTTTAGTCCTTCATTTGGGCTGAAGAAAGCGTGTGTTTTTTTTCATCTCTGTCTTCCTGCACTTTCTTCACAAGGGTCTTTGTCAAGGGAAGAAACTGATCTTCCACAGCTCAGGATTCTGTGGACACAAAAAAACAGGAAGCCCAGGGTTCCAGTTGGCATCCACCACACCAGCATGTACATGATCCTGCAGTTGACCAAAGCCTGCAGAAGCCTGCGGGGTTCATCCCTGCATCCACCCGCGGCAATTCGGACGCTGCAGGGGTTTGCTTGTGGCAATGACACTGTCAATGCGAGGTCACCGAAGAGAACCACCTCATGCTCTGCTGAGATCCTGCCATTTGACGTCCCATCGCCTTCGGGGAAGCGCACTCGCCGGGTAGGCGAATACCTCAGCCACCGGGGAGATCAACATGACCTGAGACACCGCTAAAGTTAAAGGAAATGGAAACAACACAAAATACAAAAGAACCTCTAGTAACTAGTAACTATATAGATGTAACTGTAACTAGTATAAGACTCAAAGCTGACAGTGAACAAACATGCGTTAGACATAGGCTAATCAATTTGGATTGAATTCTGGATCTGGAGTGGACACAGCCAGAACCAGACCTGGTCCGCCGGCCCCCCCCTTTCATGGTTTTCTGAAAGCCCAAATACGATGAAACACCTGGCTGCACTGGCTGTAGCGAATACTAAGAGGTTCTGCTCACTGTGGCGATGAACTCTAAAATAAAGGTATACACTGAGCTTCCTCTACCATGATCACTGGCTATGAACAGCTTTACTACACACACGCAGCAAGTTTCTCATCCCTGCAGTAAAATGAACAGTTCGGGCCGTGGGATGAAGCACCAAAGCGGAGATGATGGAATCTCTATGGAAAGGAAAGGTGATAGAATTCCATGGATGTCTGCATTTTCCATGGATCTGCATAGTGATGATGGAATAATACACTGCAGACACCCACCTTTTTCGCTAACATCCCTTCCTTTCGTCCCTCCGAACACCAACATCACCAAGGAGAGGGACTCCGGCGATGCACATCAGCAACATCACCAAGGAACAATGGAGAGCCCAAAGGATCATCAGAGTCGGAACTGAGGCACAATGAAGCCTCCACTCAACAGCGCGGAGGATCACCGCTGGAGGGCGGTGTTTGGCGGAGTGGGCGGAGCGGGGTGGAAGATCAGGGCCGTTGAAGTGGAAGTTGCTGAAAGGGAGAAAAACATAGTGTTTTACCCAATATATCACCTTGAAGAGGGGAGAAAAAGTAGTGGAAAACACAAAACAAAACTTTAGACCCTGAAACAAACAAGGTGACATGTGCATAATATCATATCTTCTGGGAGTAATCTATTGGTACCAGTAGCTACATCAGTCCTTCGCCTGCGCGTTTGACCAGAATGCACATCTTCAATGGACAAACAGTGGCCAACGCGGCCAACGGAAGACTCTGTCCATGTTTATTCGTCCAACCTTCGCTTTCTAAGGGACCTCAAACAACCCTGGCCATGAATCTGGGACGGACTGAGTTTCACAATCCTTTCAAGGAAATCGATGAACAAGTCTCGCTGAGGGTCACTTTCAAAGACGTTGAACAACCACACGCAAGCTCTCCAGGCGCATTTGTGCTATTCAAAGTCGATCTGTGTCCAAAGAATTTAAACCTCTTCAACATCTCACTGGACACCAAACACCGGGAAAATCAATCCTCCTATCTTTCCTTTCCGCTTCCTTGTTTCACCCAGCAACCAACCCTCCCCCCTCACCGCCTTCCCACACCGCCTAGCCCCCACACGCCGGCCTCTCGCACACGCCGCGCGAAGGAGCAGGACCGAGGACGTGGTCCACCTCGCTCTCCGCTGTCCACGCCGTGAGGTCCACTCGCGGTGCTGGTGAGGCTGGAGGATCCCCTCCGCTTCAGTTCGGGCGTGGGGATTAAGCCTCAGCGAGCTCTGAGCTGCAGCGGAGATTGAATGAGATTGGAGTGTTCTATTCCGTATATAATTTGAGATCTTGTAGCGCAATCACTTGTGGAATGGTATAAATTGTCCCGTTGTCTTAGGTGCTTTTTGTGTGAGACACTTATCGGGAGTAGACATTATGTCATGTGTTCTTTTCTCGCGAAATACAAGTGACATCAACTATATATATATATATATGGGGCCTCCCATCTGGGGCCCCGGGGAGGATGGGGCTTTATTCAGGGGTGGTGGACCTACACCTGGCCAAAAATTATTCCATATGTGAACACTTCTCAGGAATAAGTTAAAGCAACTTCCAACATGCAGTCTATATGGCATCCTCGGCGCTTTGATTCCTGTCTATATGTGGCTCAAAAATTCCGATCACCAACGTGCTGATCACAAAAACGTAGGTCACGTCTGTTTCGCACTGACTTTTTTTCACTCTGGCGCGGCTCAATGAATTTCCTCTTGAGATTTCATGAACATTGCATCCGGTGATCTCGATCGTCTGTACAGCTGAAGTTTTTGGGTCAGCCACCGCAAGTGATCAAAACCACCACAATCCAGCCGATGAGGACAGCGAGATGATTAGATGCTCGACAAGATCCGTTGGCAGACAGCGTCTCCATTTCCTCGGGTCACAAGTTGAGACGCACACACAAAACCATCAAAATTCTTGAGCTTGTGGCCGTCTTGAGCCAATGAAAGAAAAGTCGCAAAAATGTGTGTCCCTCATCCACGGTGCCAATGCACACATTGAGTCGTCCACACTCCCAACTTCTTGTTCCAAACCGGCGTCTTCATCTTGTAAATACCTCAGCTAGTCAACGTGCAGCCCACCCAAAAGCATCCGCTAGTGCAAAATATAAGCGACAAAATTTCAGTCTAAAATCATCAAAGGCACATCCCTCTACATGACATTGTGTCGGTGGGTCTCCCCATGCCACCGATGCCATGCTGTAGGAGAGGTACCCCTATGATTGTAAGTGTTTGAACTTGAGCCAGCTGCCATGGTGAGATATGGTGAGCATGCAATGTGACTGTCTGTTACAATGTCCAGCAAACCAATTCCGACCATATTATTCCAGGGTACCATCCACTCACACCAACTTCAACATGGTGGCTTTAATATTCCTAAAACCAATATTCTGAAAAATTATTCCTGTGGGTGACCCCTACCCTGGAATAATTTACGACAGGAGGGCCCATATATATATATAACCACACTGCCTAGAGTCTACTGAGATAGTTTGCCTTGGCTACTGTAGGAATGATATGCTTGACTTTCCACGTTATCAACATATTTAATATAACTTGCTGGTGAGGGATGACCTCAAATCATACACAGCCATCTCATGATAAGTGTAGGCTCCGAACACCATTCATGTAGATTCTTGATCCAGTTCGGGTCATTGTTCCAAGCAGGCGTTGGATAAATCAACGTAAAGGTTATAGCCATCGTTTACATGGCGAATGTGTGCTCCTTTGCCTCCACAAAAGCGATCAAGCCACAGCGCTGCGCGTGTGAACTGAAGAACCCTGGATGACTGTTCAGCATAGATGCCTAAGTCCCACAACACCCTAACAAACAAAGAACCAATATATATATATATATATGACACCTGTTTTGACGGGACATGCTGGATAATGGCCATATTTTGGATGGTGTGAGCTCCAAGAACAAGCCGTCTGTCAGGTTGATACTTGATACATCCCTTCACAAACACCCCAAGTTCCTCAGAAGAGGGCCCTTGCTCCACCGGAGGTTTGTCTTGTCAGGTCGCAGAATTGTCTTCCCTGCTCTTGGTCGATCTTGGCCGTGCACAGCCCGGTCACCTTGGTTCAAACGGGTGAGTAGCGAGCCCAAAGTGGCCAGCATCCATTCAACCCGCAGTCACATCATGGGGAGGCCCGCATTAGAGCTGTTTGGCGGGGCAAGCTGTGCAAGGCCTTTCTACATTAAACACTGAACTCAACCTGCCGAACTAGGCCAATATTGATGGCATTGTGATCATGTGTGACTTAACTTTCCCACCCGTGGCCGGTGGCCAAGCCTTTGAACACGCAGCTCACCGCAAGAAATCAGGTGTTTGGCCATGGGCATCCAACTTAGCACAACGCCATGCGTTATGGTCAAAAACACAGCAATCATAGAATTGAGATATTGGATAAACATATTATAGCATAAAGATGTTTGGGGACCTCCTACTGCAAGTAAAATGTTGCAACCAAAAATCAACGGACAAATATAGACTCCTTCAGAACCTCAGGTCAGAATGCTTTCGGGGCCCACCAGTCGTGTGGCACGGTCGTTCGGACATGGAAGCCCAGCATGCTGATGGTTTTGCAAAGGGGTCAAAGAACCAGTACAGGCATGCCTTTGTGAGTTTGGAGTGGTTTTTAGTGCCCAAGTGAGTTGAGAATGGACAAACCATGACACCCCATGACACTTCGAAGTTCGGGCAATGCCTTTGGAACTCCTGGCGGGTTCGGGTCTCGCTCAGGATGAGGTGGGGTCCATAGGGTCCACCTCCAAGGTCTCCAAGGTCTCGGATTTCCATGCGCCACCAAGGTGCACGGGCCCACGGAAATCCAAGCCCACGCGACTTGAGGTTCTCGGGCGTCCTAGGCAAGTGAGAGAGAGAGAGAGAGCGTCTTGAGGAAACCTCGCATCGAAGCACGAAACCGATTTGTTTAGAGGGTGGGTGTGCTTGGGAGAGCACACACTAGCTCAAAATCCTTAAAACACAGTGTAAATACCGTGCAAATTTTAAAAAACTGCTCTGAGAACTGGGCGAAACGCAATTGTTTGATCTGTCTGTGCCCAGTCTCCATGTCCAATGTCAATGACAACAACAAATAACAGTCCTATCTCCCTTTGCCTGTCAATGTGTAATACCAACAATGAAAAATTATCAGTTTGAGTTTGATGATATACTTATTATATAAATATAACATATATATATATATCAAGATAAACATATATGTCAATGATACCTCAAAGAAGGCAAGGCTGTTTACAGCAAGTACTTAGGACAATGAGAACTGTATGCAGAAGGCTGAGCTGTAACAAGAGTTCTTTGCACTAGCTTTTACACGCTTATCTCATCAATAGCGTGTACAAGCTCAAACAAACAGCCTTAAAAGGCTTAGCATTATGCCCTTACAGCTCATTCTAATATAATTTCAGTCTACATATACAACAAAATATTGGCTCAACTACACATAGGTTGAATAAGTTTTTGGGTAACACAACATATTGACATATATGTATGTATCAAAGCAAATATCTAGCATACAAGAATTTGAATTCAAGCTGTTGAATTCAAATGTGGAAATCAAGAAGTTGAAGTCAAGCTGTTCAATTCAAATTTTAAAATCAACAATTCGAACTCAAGCTGTTGAATTCAAATTTGGAAATCAAACAATTGACTTCAAGCTGGTGAATTCTAATTTCGAAATCAAGAATTTGAATTGCTTGAATTCAAACATTTATTTAAAAACAAAACAAATAAACTCTTTACTCTATATCATGTTTTATTACATCATTGTATGTTGAAGCCATGGCAAATGTCCACAGTGCATGTGTGAACACTTCAACTACTACTACAGCTACTCCTTACCATGTCGATGATGTGATTCTGGATGGTGATGAAGATTCTCAAGTTGTAGTGTTTGAACATGGTGCACCAACCAACTGGGCATTGCAAGTGTACAAATGGAGGCTGCATTTCAACATTCCAGATGAAGATCCAGAAGCTCATAGACAATGCTTTGGAGATCCTGACATCACCTCCACCACTTGCTTCTGAGTCCAGCTGTAAGAAGAGAAAGCTACAGGATGCTGGCCTGGAAATGAATTGAAGAGTTTTGTACAGCTGTAGTCACAGTTGTCTGTGCATTAGTTCTCCACTCAGGATTTCACAATGTGTAATTCTTTGTGTAACACAGACTTGCACAAACTAGTGTGCTGTTATGGTGCTGTCATCTCAAAAGTATTTAACATACACTATATTTCAAGCAAATATATGCTGCCACTATAGGCATTGTTTGTGCAGGTTTGGCCAGTGTAGGCTTGGTGTGAGTGTGCTCAGCCAATGTAGGCTCAGCTTTTAGAAGCTTACACTTGATTCGATATTGTGAAAAAGTTGTACCAAATACTATGTCAGTTGCCATTTGCAGCTACATCTAGTGGGCTGTGGTGTGCAAAAAAACACTGTGTTTTAAAGTGATTCCGTGCAAAGACCTCTCCAAAATTGAGGTTTTGAGCTATTTTTAGATCAATTTTGTGAGATCCTAGCTCAAAACCTCAATTTTGGAGAGGTTATTGCAAGAAATCACTGTAAAACACAGTGTTTTTGCATCATTTGTTGCATGAAAAACATCTCCCAGGAGCACCCGTTCTGTTTGTCTACTACCGGTATCATGTACATTCATTTAAGTGCTGGCTTTGGTGGCTTTGGTGGGTGGATGTCCAATGACCAGTAAAAAGACTGATATTTGTGGGAAACATCGCAGCAAGGATCTGTGGGCATTTCCTCTAGCTGAAATGGTGGAACCCTCGCCTTCCCAAACTGCAAGTGGCCACTGAGCCACTGAGGAATACCTATCTCGGGGAACGTTGATGATATAAGCCATGCCTTGCGGATCAAGTGTCAGGAATTGCAGACCATCCTCACTTGAACCCAGTTTTTTTGCCCTATAGCCATAAATTCGCATATGCTGGGTGTGTACATGTGTGTACTTATTTACTGTACCTCTTTCCATTTGAACAGAACTTTTTTGTGTAGGTTATTATCGTTGAAGGGTGTCTACGGCTACGGCAAAGCTTACGCCGGAACTGGCCATCGCGGCGAACTTACGTTTCCACAATGCGAGCTTGCGACGCACATGCGCAGCACGGCCAGCGAGCACCATTGCCCACGGAGAAGCCAATGAACGTCAGGTTTGGGTTCCCATTTTGTTGGCCCTTGCCTCTGGTAGCCCGCAGTGGGAAACCTGCTTTTTCTACAAGGAAACTATCAAACAGCAAACCTGTCAATCTTGAGCTGCTACTACTCCTCCTCCTGTTGCTGCTGCTGCTGGTGCTGCTGCTGCCTGCTCCTGGCGGCTGCTGCTGCTGCTGCTGCTGTTGCTGCTGGCTGGCGTCGCTTGTGTTTTGCTTTCTCAAATTTCTTTCAAAATTATGTCAAACTTTGGAGAGCCAAACACAGCATTTTTTGAAAGGCCAAACACCGGTAGTTACTCACTGCACTGAGTGTCAAAATGCCGGGAGTCTACGAGGATATAAATCCTTTCATCTCAAGAAAAAAACAAACTCTTCTCATTTGATCTCATTTGCATTTGCATCATTCGCCAGTCAGCTCCACTCTTGTCCCATCCAAGCTTCATCCTCGCGCTGGGCGAGAGCTCCTGGGTGGACGGAGCGGAGCTCGGCCAACACAGTCAATCACTGACAATCCATGGGACTGGAACAGTTACCCATGTATGGATGATGTAGTTTAGATAGTAGTTTAGATATACATACATGTATGATCATGTCTGGAATAGTTGCATACACTTACCACATGAACATGACCCATCCATATCCATGTACAGTAGGTACCTCTTCTGGGATGATCTGGGTGAACCCGGTGACGCAGTCGGCTGAGAATCGAACCTCTGAAGGTGCACTTCGTAGGGGGTCCCCGTTGAGCAGAGGTCCAAGTACGCGAGCAGTAGTGGGACGCGAGCAGTAGTGGGACAGAAGAAGCCTTTTAGGTCTTCTGGAAATCCAGGATGAATCCATGATGGATGATTTCAGGATGTAATCCATGATAGATCCTGATGAATCCATGATTACAGGGTATGGTCTTGTCGGAAAATTCTTCTGGTGGCACTGAAACGTGGTGATTACCACACAACTCTTATGAGTCCAGTTCCAAACTGTTTGAAACGGTGGATCACCCAAATTCCATCGACTTCCCCCAGCACCTCAAAACACTCTTAATAGTGGATTTGTGGCCCACTTGGTGGAAAGTATGAACATAGTTCCCTTAGGTTCCCTTGAGAATCCCACCTGCGCTGCCAGGTGGCTGAGATCGAACGTCTCTTCCGCTGCTTCTCCCGCGGCGTGCCGAGCGCGTGCGGCTCGCACGCCGGCGTGCGCGGCGGCGTGCGCCGCGGGAGAAGCCGCCGCGGGCGGCGGTGACACCGTGCCGAAGCGGGACTCCAGGAGGAGGGAGCACTGAGGGTGTGGCAGTCCGACCTGAGAGACGCCCCTGCGAACGGCCGACGGAGGGATCGGGGCGGAGCATCGTACTCCTTTTTTTGTTTGTGAGTCGGATACTACCTGTTTTGGTGAAGCAGTTCGCTCCACCCGCAAGAATTTTGATCATTTCATCTGAAAGAGGTCAATTCTGCTGCTCTCGAACTGAAGAAACATCAAGCAACTATAACTTAACTGCCTTATTGAGAGACGGGCATGGCGTGAGCCTCAAACTGAGCCATAATCATGCAGCGTACCGAACATCTAGAATCTAGAACAGCATGATGGCTGTACCGCTGATATGAGGACTTGGCACCAGGGTACTGAATGAGGGTCAAACTTAGAAGCCTCAGAATCCAAAGTCCCAACACACTGACGAATCAACAAGTGTCATATTATAGTCTGATGTCTCATTGATCTCTCGGATCGAAATACGGTTATTTACCTGATGTCTGACTTTGCCTCTTGAATCAACAAGGTTCCTTCCTGTCCCAATCAATACAAGATCCAGGTGTAGATAGTGCAAAAGTGTGTCGACTTTATCCTTCCTGTCTCACCCCCATGAACCCCCTAGGCCCTGGGGGTATCCCGTTGGGTCGTAAACCATTCGACCGCCCGAGCCCGACTGGAGCCCTCCAATGAAAAAACACCACACGACACAACGACTTTCGCACCAGGGTGCCAATCGCTCAGTTCGCCCACCGGATCTTCCCGTGGTTGGCAGAAGCTCTGGCGACGCTGCTTCACCCTGCACGGCTGTGCAGGCGCGCTTGGCACTTCAAAAGCGAAAAGCAGCTTGTCACCCCTTCACCCCCAAAAAACTCCTCAAAGGCAAACGGGCCTCCACAAAAAACATCACTCAACTAGATCCCTTACTATTTTTTGGGATATGATGTCGAAGAAACCGAGAGCTATAGAAGTCTAGGATGGATCATGATGGATCCAAAGCCCTTTTGGAGCTCCGAAGCACGGAATGCTTCCGGCTCGAGCCTCATCCACGGACCCTTCCGCCCATCTGACCAAAGACCAGCGACTCGAATGACGCGATCCAAGACGACAGCTGACAGCTGCAACCCATGCAGAAATACATCGAAATTACATGAAATTAGATTTTGCAGAGGAATTAGTCTTGTGCAGGTTGATGGTTGATCCATCTCTTTCATCGTCTGTTAACGGATTTCTAGCAAGGTGAAGGAGGTCGATCGAATGATACAACGTAACCTGAAGCCTCGTGAAGTTGGGTCAGGTCATCTACCAGTCCTGTCCCTTTCACTGACATCTTCAGCATCAGTTCCCTGACCTGGGGCCGCCGAGCCCGACAAAATCAAATCCAAACGCCTCACCTCCTTGGTGTGCAAGGTGAGGCCGGCGCAGAGGAGTTTTCAGCATTCTCAAGCTCTTCCGTCACCTCAACCTCCATCTCCATTTCAGCGGCGAAGCCGCCGTCCATGTCGGAGGTCGAGCAGGGTGTGTCGAGCAGCGCCCGCAGTTGGGATGGTTGGTTGATTGTTCAGCTCCGTTTGCTGACAGAAGGCGGCTGGTCATACACCAGGATTTTGTTGATTGTGGGGGTAAGCTATCTTGCAAAGATCAACGATTGACTCTGGTGGCAAAAGGTAGAAGACAGTTTGTGCACCTTCAACCGATCAGTGTGATGATCTTGTGCAAAAGTCGGCTGTCCCACACATGTATTTGCCCTCTGGGGTGATGTCAGGCCAAATAGCAAGACAAGCTGTGTAGGCCTCTCATGTGTAGGCACCTCATGTGTGGATGAGTAATCCAGTCAGGATCCTGCCTGAGCCTGCTAGGCCCTTGAATTTCGACTTCGTCACTGCCGCACCAAAAGGAGTCTGATGAGGCCCAAACCACTGGGCTGTAGTGATGTCAATCTACTCAAAGTCTTTGCCTCAAAGATTCGATACATACCATGGGGTGCTCAATGATAGCCTGTAGTGCAGGGTACTCTCTTCGACACACATCCGTGTGTGCACCACACAGATCATACACATCACAGGTGAGCGGATGGTGAGAGAAATGGCTTGTACCTCAATGTCCATGACACACATTCTTATCTTGCCGTGAAATATCACAGGCTTTAGATGAAGCATCACAGCAGGTCACCTCGAACCGCAGATCTATAGATTTGTGTTATGTCTTAACATGAAATACGATTCCATGGTTGGAACGTGGGTAGCGCTTTCCAAACAAGATGTGACTTTTTGTCGGGCGGAGCTTCTTTTTCAGGGCCCCGGCAGTGCCACTTGCTATCGGCGCAACCCCAAGTACCACCTGTATACGCTCTGGTTTTGGGTCAAAACCTTTTAAACAAAGGGACTTCTTTCGAAGGAACTAGTAACTAGTAACTCATTCCCAATCATCCACTGACACAGGTTCCCCTTGGATTATCCAAACATCTGACATATTTGCTTGTTTCAAACTCGAGCTTTGCCAGGCACACACTAGCCCAGGTCAACTAACTCAAATGAATAGTTAAATCGTAGAGGCAGATACTAAGAATCAGTGATTCCCCTTTTGGAGCATCCATCCAAAATCACGACAGGAATGGCAAGAGGGACAACCCCATGCTTTTAATTTTTGATTTGAGCCAAGCTTCTTGAGGTATAACAGTATAACAGTCAAGAGTCAAGGGAGGGCTGACCGTACCTGACTTGACATTTCAGTGGAGAAATGGTAACATGCCCTTCTTTCCAGGTGCTCCCTCCTCGTGCGCTCTTCTTTCCTGGTGGTTCTCCGGACTGGTCGCATGAGCCAGGCAAGAACCGCCCTTCGTTGGACTTTGCGGCTACACCGACTAAAAACCGAGGTTGAGAGATCAAACATGGGACCCTGCAGGTGTACTTATGGGATAGGGCTGGAATTGGTCATTCATTCAGGTTCTTCAACATACAAAGGTACTAATGATTAATGGTCTTCTATCTATCATTCCTTCTTTTAGGTGAAACTCATGCTAGTCACTTTGAGGCTCGAAACCCTCGTGAAAGCTTCAAGGTGGTGTCAATGCAAACATGTTGAACCACGCGATTCCAATGGGGAAAATTCCCAGCATGCTCCAGTGTGACATTGGGGTTCGTTTCAAGAGCTCGGCCATCGACAGAGGTTCCTGGCGACAAACTTAACAAAGTTTATAGTCTACGTACTGGTATCGATGAACCGCAAATGGCTGACGGTACTATCAAGATGGTTGCTTGGGGCTACGAGTCTTTGAGGGCTGGTCAATCTACCGAACGAAAGCACTGGCTCGTGAGAACGAAAGAGCTAATGCAATTCCAAGGCAGCCGGGCAACTTTAGCCCGACACTCTCTCATCCAAGAGATGCCAATTCATCTAAGAAATGGTTGTTGTTTCTCAACAGGCTTTTCCACGACTTAGGATTCATATCATTTCATTCTGGTTCCAGGTACCTCCAGTCAGACAGGGATTAGATCGCACTATCGGTTTGAATGGCTGAACAGGAGTGGGAGGTCTTGCTTCGGATGTGTGCAGGGTCTATTTGCGGTCAAACCATGTCTCCATTTTGATGCGCCCAAGCCAACACCCCACAAGTCATTCCGTCACTTTGGTGATCCTAAGTACTTGAATTTTGTTTAAACCATGTTCAGGATGCCTCTAAGAAACCATCAGCAGGACTTCCGAATGAAGACCCATCACCGACGGCGCAAGGTACGAAGGCTTCTGCCTGGCTATGGCTGTGCTAGAAGCAGGTAATCGCAGTGAGGAAGACGCAACAAGAAGCACTGGCCAGTACTAAAAGTCTTGGTTATACGTAGCTACTCAAATAGGACTGGATAGGGTTAGCTACTGCAGATTCACTAGGATTTGATTCTCGCTGCAATGACTTGGATGTGAATGCCTCACACAAACATTGCTGGCTCAGACCTTTGAGCGGTGTTTGGATCTTTTGGGGAATCTTGCAAGAGGAGAAACTGACTCCCCTCCGGCAGTTTGCCCTATCTCCAGCGTTACCCTCCAACATCTGGCTTCAATTCCATCGAACGCTGCCGACTGGCCAACTCTGCCTGCTCTTGCTATCGAGGAAGCTTGAAGGCCTGGCAGCGGAAGCCTGCATGACTGTTGTTCTGTCTCTAAACTTTCGTGCTGGACATGGCTGGTCATTCTACCACCAGGGGTCATTCAAACGCTCTCAGTCTTCTTCCACTAGTTGTGACTCCCGCTCCACAGATCACAAACCTGCGGAGCGCACCTTCTTCTCCCCGTTGTTGGCTGATTCAAAAAAGAATGACACTACATGCACTGTCCTTTTGGACGCACAGGACCCTGAGAGTGCCTTAGCTTCGCTCCGCTCCGTGTCTCTCATCGCCGCGCTGTGTCTCGACCCGTCTGTCCTCGGCAGAGAGTCCTTCCCCGTCGTGGAGCAATTGCGCAATCAACATCTCCTCGAGACGCGTTGAGTCGAGTCTGCCAACGAGTGGCCCCGGGTCGAGTCTGCCCCTAAACCGCGCGCCCGGCGTTCTGCTCCGTGGGACTTGCGGGAAGGTCGGTAGTAGGTAGAAACACACGAGCTATTACACATGTCGTTTTTTCTTGAGAGCTAGCTTGAGAATTGAATAAGTCAACTTTGACGTAATGATCTTAAGTGCATTGAGTTGCCCTGATTATCAGCTGCAAAACTATATACGTATCATATATGATATCATATGTGATTGTATGTGATTGTATGATATTGTATGTAGAAATATCAACTGCCAGAATCAGGAAAGACTGATCAAGTACGCAAAATATCCCCAACCATTGCACCCAGGCCATGGCGGCCATGGTTCCAAATACATCGAGATCATGTTTCCAACGACAGGGCGATTGGCACTCTCGTCGAAGAAAAAACACGACATGTTGGGCAACACACAACGCGGGGAGGAAACAGTCCCAGACGCTCCATGCGACTAGAATATATACCTACATTTGACACCCCAAACCATCCCAATGTAGGCACATATGGCAGTCCCATGGAGCGTCTGTGAATACTACACCCATGAGAGGTACAGTGCTACACTGAGGAATCTCTCACTAGTTAGCCTTTTGGATGTCCGTGTTAGAAGCAGACCCGGCGGCCTGCAATGAACACTGCAAGTGCAACGGTTTGCTTTGTGACCTGGGTTGCTTACTGGCTCGCCTGCGAGCATCAATGTGTCCATTTCAAGTGAACTTCGGGTGAACTTCAGGCCATTTCCCGAGTTTGGAGGTGATACACAACGATGTTAGGCATGGATTTGCTCGTCATGGGTGACAACAAAACATGTGGTTCACACCTCTGAACCCCACACATATCGACTCCGTCCTGCTTCTCCAGGTGCTTGTGAATTTGCGTGTGGATTCGTGTGAGCCTGGGCGGTGTCACACCGCTTGCTTGGAAGCGTCGGCGTCCAAACGTCGCGTCCAAACGTGCAGGGGCTTGGTCAGTTGCTTGGCTGTTCCCTTGGGTTCTTGGATGTTCTTGATTGTTATAGTTGATGGATCCACAGTACATGCAAAGGCCCTCAAACACATGTTACACATGGTGTTATATCTGTTCGTGGGAGAGATCGTTACAGCTCGTTGCTGTTTGTAATTCAAGTTGCGTTGTTCTCCACCTGCGGAACAAATGCTTTCGCAACAATAAGTCAAACATGTTTCATCCAGTGTTGAGTTCAAGCCATGAGCAACCAAAGAAATCCACCATCACGTCAATCGTCGCAACAGGTGAAAAGGAACAACAACATTGCCATGCCGCCAGGCCTGAACATAGAGAGTGACCTCATATTTTCCAACCTACCCAACCTTGGGAAGCAGCCATGCCCATGTCACTAGTGATGTCATTGTGTCGGCAGCTGGCTGTTCGAGCTTGAGCCCCTCAGCATCCAATCAGCTTGGTGCCCCAGCTTGTCAAAGGCATTCACGGCCACAGGGTGCGTGGTCTCTGGAGAGTCTGCCTCGCCCAGCTTGTCGCCCAATGTCAGTGGCCGATGATTTGAGGACTGAAAGACTTGCGTCCTCACTGCATCTCTCGAAATGGAATTGAACAATGGATCCGGCTGTGGATCCTGCAAAATGAATCTGGAACCAAGGTTTCTAGCTCCATTCCTTTTAAATATCTTCAGGCCCATTGGTTCCCTACCAAAACAACAGGTGGATCCGCTGGGGTGTCCTTGGATTGATGCCCACACATTGTGAACTCCTCAAGTGGCAACACCGTCAGCCTGTCAACTGCAGCCCACCTAAAGCTAAAACATGCTCAAAGCATTTCAAAGCATCTCAAAGCCCACAATTCTCAAGATATCCGTAGTTCATCGACCAGGACCAACCGGGTCAACCTTTTACCCTGCTGCACCACCAGTGCCAACTTCTAATGACCGACGTCGAACCGAAGTTCTGGCCGATCGACGTCGAACCGGGCCTCCGTCCGATAGTCTTCCAGGATCTCCACGGCTGTACTGGACAATGTGGGAGAGGAGTCAGGAGGAGTTGATCAGATTGAGAGGAGGAAAAGGAGACCCTCCAGTTCCTCCGTTTCTAGCACTGACGCCACTGGATCGTTGATTCTTACTCTCAGAGGTCTTTTATGGGGCATCTAAGTCCCAAACCATCCGAACACTTCATTTCAAGCTGATCTTTTGAATGTTCCGGCTTCAAACATGTTCCAGGGTTTGGCTGCCTTCACCAGTTGTCGAACTCTAGACTCTAGATCCCCCGCACAAGGGGTGTTTGAAGTGAAACGACCCAGAAGGGCCTACACGGCTGAAAATTTGGGTGCCAATATGAGCTAACTAAAATAATCATAAGGGTGTGAAGCCTATCTTCGTCCTGGAGACGCAACACACACTCACATTCGCATGTGCTCACACTCTCGCCATATGTTAATTGCTTACACGGCTTAATTCACCCGCGGCTGATAGACAAAAAAAAAAGGAGAACCTCAGCGAGTTCAATCCGAAAGTGTTCGCCTCGCCTTAACCCTTCTTCTGAGGGCTGCAGGAATTCGGGTTTTGTGGAGGTCTGCACCGGCCTCGCTGCGGACGTCAGCTGTGCAAAACAGCGCGCGGTGCGATGGACGACCAAGACGCACCTCATGTTGAGACAAACTAACAAAACATAAGGCTGCAATGGCTGCCTGTTTCTGGCTGGCGCCAGGCAGAAATGGAGAAAACTGATGAGACAGATATCAAACCAGCGGTCCTGAGGTTGATACTTTTGGAATTGCAGCCTGTTTCTGACTGTTGACAACAACCAGTCCGAATAATCGAAAGGCAAGCTGCTGATACGTAAAATCTGCGGGTTGCTGATCTACCTGGACCTATAAAGACTTTATATATAGAGCCATTTTGCAAACTCACCTCACAGGTGGCTGATGTGTCTTATTTCTCTTTCTGGGCGTTCATCTTGACACACCCACAAAGGCTTAACTGTCTTCCAGTTGCATGCGCCAGTGACCAGGTATAATCTGCAGCTATACAAACCATCAAAGTCGGCACTTCGCAACCCGGAGCAGCTCCATCCACGTCCGTCGTCCCACGTCGTCCCACGTCCCACGTCTTCGGCCCAAGAAGCGTGTTCACGATGACATTCCCCACCTGCGCCACGAAAAGCTGCAAGAGAAACGGAGAATCAGAATTCCTCAAAAGTTTTTTTGTGACGGCACGTCGTCTTTCCTTAAGGAGCAATCGTTCACTGTATCTTGGCAGCCGAACCACTAGTAAGCATCGAAAAGAGTGTTTGATTGATTGATTGATTGCTTGCTTGCTTGTTTGTTTCCTTTGTTTTTTGTTTGTTTTTGTTTTTGGTTTGTTTTTGGTGTGTTTTGTGTTTGTTTGTTTGCTTGCTTGCGTGCTTGCTCGTGTGTTTGCTTGCTTGTTTGTTTTGTTTGGTGTTTCTCTGCTGCCAGGGCGCGAAACAGTGTGTTTCAACACGATCAGTCTCCCGGTCCGTCCCGGGTCGGCCATGGAAGACAGGTCCACCTGGTCCTGTGGGACGCAGCACGCCGAGGGCGCACATGCCGTGTTGAAGATCGACCTACAGCGGATCGGAGCAAGCTGAGGTCGATGCGGTCACGTCACCATCCCCCCCAAAAAGTACCTGAAGCAAAGTACCATTAAAATCCATTAAACATAACTGTGAGCTGTATTTGACGGCTGTACATGTACTTCTTGAAGTCGCTTTTTGCGCAAGTTTGTCACAGAATTTGGAGAACAGTTGGTGAATCAAGAATCTGGCAAGGAAGATCCACTGGAGGCATGAAGTTCACCACCAACCGTACACAGGTAGACACCTGAGGACCTTCTGATTGGACCCGGCTCGTTTCATTTGGATGAAGCTTCAATACGTGTTTCATGCCGCCAATGGATGGCATGGGGCACATCACATTAATATGGCAAGAGAGCAAAAGGATGCCATTAATGGGTCAAACTCTGTGACTCTTGGTGCCCCCCACAATACAGCAATGATTGAATTTGAATGCTTTAAAGTGATACAAGGTGATGTCCATCTCGTTTGTGGTCGCTGTATGGAGCTTCGGAACATCTTGCGAACGAGAACTTCAGCAACACCTGGACCTTCCAACTACCAAGCATTTCTGGTCGATTTGGAAGATCCAGGCATGTACTTTAAGATCTTTAAGTACATATGGTTAGTAGTAGTATGGTGAGTATCTTCAGGCTGGACCTCTAAAAGCTGAACCACTAAAAACACCAACTCAAGGATACTCAAGGCCACTCACGCCATTCGGCTGGCTGGGGCTTTCCCCATCCTCAGGCCACTCATCTGGGCATATTCGGGCACCCGAGCGCTTTACCTCCCATGGCGGCGCTTCTGACTCGGGACTTTTGGGCAAGTCCAGCTGGCTGGTCGTGTCAGTCAGATTGGTTGGGGTTGTTCTGTTCGGAAATCTTCGGTCTGGCCGTTGTCAGGTCGTGAGCGCCAAAAAGGATAGGGTTGTGTCTGTTTGATGCACCAATTGCAACTTCTCATGGAGCGAAAAACTCTGATAGGTGTGGATTCCCATCTATGCACCGGAGGAGTTCCGGTCTTGGAGGGTCAATCGGTGCGCCGGCCGTGTCCAATTTCCAAGCGGATGTTCTATGTCTCCGCAACTACGCATGGCAACTGAAAAAAAAAAGATATGTATGTGGCATTATGTGGCTAGCTGAAGAAAAGTCTGGTGCATCCCTTCCATTTCTGTTCTTGATGTCTCTCCTACATGTACACAAAAGGTTCCACTCTGTGAGGGCCTGGCTTTGGAGCAACAGGCTGCGGAAAAGCCACAGACCAAACTTCAGTGACCACGCATCGACCTTGAACATCGCCGAACCCTCCAAAGTGAGCTGGGTCGAAGCGAACGACCCATGTTCAAAGCGAAACGATTTCTGGCAAACAAGGACGCTACTAGTAACAAAGTGCATCGCTACTAGTAGCAAGAAGCTACGAATCTACGAACGTAGCGATGCCCTTTTGTTACGTTCGTAGCGTCCGTTTTGGCATGGACGGTATTTCGTAGCGTCCGTCTGTTGAGTCGAGGGTGCAAGGGTCTGGGGAGTCGAGCGGCCAGGCTGCAAGCATTGGGGAATCGTCTGCCACGGTTGGATCACTGCTGCTCAGTTTGGGGAATCAAACATAAAATACCTTGGTGAGCCTCGGTGATCCTTGGTGGTAATGATTGGTCAGGGATAGTTCACGGAAATATGACAGCATGATTGAAACTTCTTCGGCTTTCGACAAAGGATCTACGTATTGGACCCCTTCAGGACCTCAAGTGAGAATCAATGAAAAACACAGCTTCACCCCCAAGAACAAATCGACAAACCCCCCCCAAAAAAAGGATGTGCAAACGTGAGACCCCTTGGCCCGTTACGCTGAGTAGACTGGTCTACGGTCTATGTCCCAAAGCTGAACATCGGAACGCCATGGGGGGTCGGTCGGTCTGCCACAGCTGTTGAGCTACACAAGTGCTACACACCCACAAGTACTACACAAGTGCTTCATCCCCTGCTGTAAGCATCACCTCACAACTGTTTTTCACCTCACAGCTCTGATCGGATCGCATGTGCCGCCGGAGATCCTGGCCGGCCTGGCCGATGGAGCGCGGACTCGACGGATGTTTTTGAGGGAAACACGTGATTTCGCGGAGATCATGGTCTAGTTTTTCTGTACCATGTGGGAGACTTCAACCGGATTTGGGGGATTGATGATACAAAAGCATTACATGACTTTTGATATAGGACATTATAACCTTGGAGCTGAGGATTTGGACAGTTGCATATACAATTGGGATCAGCAACTTGCAGTTTTTCCAGACTCCCCTTTAACCATGTGTGTTGTCGCACGTGGGATCCGTCATCTTTTCAGATGGGGTGATCCCAATATTCTTTTTCAACCTGAGAAGCTGCAAAACGAAAGCCAGCGCTTTTGTGGGGCTGATTCGCAGTGCAAAGCCGGGAAGAAGCTATTTCCACTGTCTGTGAAGCCTGATGCGCGCCATACCTGGGAACAGAATTGTAGCTACAAGACCTTTATTTTCAAGGTGGCCTGAACAGAGTGTTTTAGGGCAGCAAA